CTGAGGAAGATACAAACACACACACTTGGTTAGGTTTAGGTTAGGTTAGGTTAGGTTAGGTTAGGTTTAGGTTAGGTTTAGGTTAGGTTTAGGTTAGAGTTAGGTTTAGGTTAGGTTTAGGTTAGGTTAGGTTTAGGTTAGGTTTAGGTTTAGGTTAGGTTAGGGTTAGGTTAGGTTAGGGGTTTAGGTTAGGTTAGGTTAGGTTAGGTTTAGGCTTAGGGTTGTGGTTAGGTTGTGTTAGGTTAGCTGCAGGTTCCTTCAGGTGTACACAGGACTGAGGAGAGGAGGAGAAGTGGAGGAAGAGGGGTAGAGGAACTGGAAAGAGGGATGATGGTAGAGGTGAGAAGTGGAAGATGGAAGAGGTGGGAGATAGGAGAGGTGGGGGGGATGGGGGGGATGGGAGATGGGGATAGGAGAGGTGGGAGATGGGAGAGGGGGAATGGGAGAGGGGGGGATGGGAGAGGTGGGAGATAGGATGGTAGGGGGATGGGAGAGATGAGAAATGGGAGGTAGATGGAAGAGGAAAGGAAGATTGGGTAGATGAAAGAGGTGGAGATTGGGAGAGGTGGGAGAGAGACGACACACGATTGTTGAGGAAAAGCAAAAATCCTTTCGGCTCTGCTGGATTTCCAAAGCTACTGGGTTTTTGTAATTGCTTAGTCTCGGGATAAAGTGAGAGCAAAGAATCAGGCAGGAGAGGACCGGGAAGGTGGGCAGGAGAGGAGAGGGAGAGGAGAGGAGAGTGGGAGAGAGGAGAGGAGAGGGAGGAGAGGAGAGGAGAGGGGAGGAAGAGGGGAGAGGGAGAGGGAGAGGAGAGGAAGAGGAAGAGGAGGGGAGAGGAGAGGAGGAGGAGAATATTGGATGGGAGAGGGAAGAGGAGGGAAAGATGAAGAAGAGGAGGTGAAGTATGGATAGATTAGGGAAGAGGAGAAGGAAGAGCAAGAGAGGAGGAGAGGAAGAAGAGAGGAGAAAAAGGAAGAAGTGGAGGAAGGAAAAAGAGGGAAAAGGAAAAAGGAAGAAGTGAGGAGAATGAATGGTAAGCAACAGGAGGACAGAGGAGAAGAGGAGGAAGATTGGATGGCATGAGGCTATGAAAGGAAAACACCGGTCGGAAGGGAGGAATAGGAGACAAACGCAAAAAGGGGGGAGGAGGAGATGACTGAATGATAGAAACGATAAGAAACACACACACACACACACACACACACACACACACACACACACACACACAGCCACACACACACACACACACACACACACACACACACACACACACACACACACACACACACAATAATAATACGCACACCAAAAAAAAAATAGAACTATGTAACTGCACTCCAAAAGCTCCAATTTTAATCTATTTGAGATGAGCAATTTTTACGTTATTATTTCAACTAATGAGAGAGAGAGAGAGAGAGAGAGAGAGAGAGAGAGAGAGAGAGAGGACAGCCATACTAGTTATATAATATAGTACAAGCATATTATAGGAGATCCATCCTGCCTGTCGAGTCAAGTCATGGGTCATCACACTACTCCTCCTCGAGTTGTATAACCACACCTTCTACCACACACTACAGTCTTCGGCACAACCACATCATCTTCTACACCACACCCTTTGAAGTATACAACCACACCCAGCACACCGCTCTCTCCGACCATATCCACATTCTCCTCTTCAGTGTTTCAGGCATGACTGACCCTTCCCATGTGTGTGGTCATTGAATCACGAGCCCCGAGGGTAGAAGACCAGCCATCACCAAGCTGACTCCTGGCCCAGCTGGGAGTGCCTCCCTGACCATCACCAGCTGACTCCTGGCCCAGCTGAGTGCCTCTGACCATCAGCTGACCCTGGCCCAGCTGGAGTGCCTCCCTGACCATCACTGCTGACCCTGGCCCAGCTGAGTGCCTCCCTGACCATCACTGTTGCCCCTGGCCCAGCTGAGCTCCCTGACCATCACCAAGCCGCCCCGCCCAGCTGAGTGCCTCCCTGACCATCACCAAGCTGCTCTGGCCCAGCTGAGGCTCCCTGACCATCACCAAGCTGACCCTGGCCCAGCTGAGTGCCTCCCTGACCATCACCGAGCTGACCCTGCCCAGCTGGAGTGCCTCCTGACCACTGGAGCTGCCCCTGGCCCAGCTGGAGTGCTTCCCTTGACCATCACCGAGCTGACCTGGCCCAGCTGAGTGCCTCCCTGACCATCACTGCTGCTCCTGGCCCAGCTGGCGCTCTGACCATCACCAAGCTGCCCCTGGCCCAGCTGAGTGCCTCCCTGACCATCACCAAGCTGACCCTGGCCCAGCTGAGTGCCTCCTGACCATCACCAAGCTGACCCTGGCCCAGCTGGAGTGCTCCTCCCTGACCATCATCACTGTTGCCCCCTGGGCCCAGCTGGAGCTCCCTGACCATCACCAAGCTGCTCCCTGGCCCAGCTGAGGCCTCCTGACCATCACTGCTGCCCCTGGCCCAGCTGAGTGCCTCTGACTAGACACACTTTCCAGGGCCACAGCTGAGTTCCCCACACCAGCACTTTCCAGGGCCCCAGCTGAGCGCCTCAAGGCCACTAACACACTGAACCGGGTCGCTGTGGCCTCGGGGGACGGAAGACCATTGAGGAAAACCGGAGAAAGTTGAGTTAATCATTAAAAGAAAGTGGAAGGAGAAGATGGAGGCGAGAGAAGCGAGGCGAGGAGAAACGAGGCGAGGAAAAGCGAGGAGAAGCGAGGCGAGGATAGGAGAAGCGAGGTGAGGCCAGGCGAGGAGAAGAGAGTTGTCTTAGAGTCAAGTAAAGGGCCAGAGGAGGGAGGGAGGGAGGGACAGACTTTCTGGTGTAAGTAGAATAAGTTGCCTCTATAAAAGTAAACAGGGTAATGTATGTAAGGCAGCTTATAGAAGTGAGTCAAACAACAACATTAGCTTCAAAAGTTACATCAGTGAAGCAAGTGAAGTAAGGTAGCTGATTTTTAAGTACGAAAAGTAAGAACTGTAGTACAAAAATTATTATAAGTAACGTAAGGGGAGTAAAGTACCTGATTTAAGTAGAATAAGAAAGAATGGTACAGTTGTGTAAATGTGTTCCTACACCCCATGTGGTGACCCTTGTCTCCAAACCTATATGACCTAGTCCTACAGTATAATAAAGCTACCCACCAATCACGTCCGTCGTCACACCAACACCCATTAATTCATAATTAGTGATACTACATCTGCGACGTTGCCGTTTGGAGAGACAGTTTACCACAGGGAGCATACGAACACATTTCCACAAGTACCACAAAAGGTCAATTATATGAGATAACAAGAATCATTCCGGAAAGTCCTGTCACAACCCCCCTCCCCCCCATAAAAAAAATCCTTATACAAATCTTCAAACAGATGATGTACAGTCGCCAACACTTACACCTGGTGCAGTGACTGATGTGTATTGTGCAATGTGGCAACGCTGGGTTTGTTTATATATTATTAAAACTACCTCATTGGCCCTAAGGAACCTCGCAATAGTAGCCAGAGTAAGGATGCTAGATAAGAATTCCACAGCACTGCCACATCTCACAAAATGCACCAGCCACTGTACCAGGTATAAGTGTAGGCGAGTGTACATTCTGGTCTGGTTTTAAGTCACAGGAAAAAGTTAATGCATTACAGGTGAGTACGATGAGTTAACTATAAGATAATGAGTTAACTATAATGTGAGGAATTAACTATATGAGTTAATTACAAGATATGTTAACTATAAGACCAGTTAACTTTAGCTTGGATGTGGCCAGGTAAGTGCTGGTTAATTAATTGGTCAACACCTGTGGAAGACATAACGACAGACACACACACCTGTTGTGGACTGTACTATATATACTGTACGTCACCTCTTCCACCGTATTAATGAAGACTTTCCAAGCTTATTCATACAGGAACGCTAAGCTTATTTATAAACTAAGCTTATTTATAAAGGAACTATCAGCTTATACAGAAATTCAGCTTGTCAATATATAAACTCTAAGCTTATTTATAAAGAGTTTCATAGTTTGTTTCTAAAGAGCTCCATCACGCCTCGAGAGCTCTAAAAGTTTGTCTCTTAAAGAGCTTCATCACGCCTCGAGAGCTCTAAAAGTTTGTCTCAAAGAGTTTCATCACGCCTCGAGAGCTCTAAAAGTTTGTCTCAAAGAGTTTCATCACGCCTCGAGAGCTCTAAAAGTCTGTCTCTAAAGAGCTCCATCACGCCTCGAGCTCATACACAAGATTTCGTTGGAGCGTAAATATTTTTTTTTCTCCCGGGCGACTAAGTTACACGAAGGGGAAAATGTGAATTCGATAATCCTGGGATAAAACTAGAATTATGTTTAGACCAGAGTATAAACTGTGTGTGTGTGTGCGTGTTCTTTAAACTCTCTCTCTCTCTCTCTCTCTCTCTCTCTCTCTCTCTCTCTCTCTCTCTCCACGATAAAAACCTGTCTCTTTAACTCTAGGTGCCGTGAGGGGGAGGGAAAGAGGAAAAGATAAGCGAGGGGGGAGAGGATGGATGTAGAAGAGAGGGGAGGGAAGAAGGGGAAGAGGAGAGGGGAAGATGTTGAAGAGAGGAACCTCGAACGGAGACTAAATTAAGATAGGTTAATTAGGTCGTGTAAGTTAGATAAGGTTAAGGTTAAGTGAGGTTAGGTTAGGTCCGGTATGGAAATAATAATAATTAGGAACCCAGCAGGTTCTGAAGGAGGTGTATACATAACACCTCTTACCTTGGTGTGCTGAGCTGATCACCCTTACACTCTCCCTCACCCCTGATCCTCCCTCACCCCTGATCCTCCCTTACCCCTAATCCTCCCTCACCCCTAATCCTCTCACCCTAATATCGACCTACAGTTCTACACCCTCACCTCATCGCTCATCTTCCTTCACCCCCCCACCCTCACCACTTCCAGGGTCACCTAATGTAGAAAGTGCCGGATTTAGACCTGTGGAGGCCCATGGGCAGCCTCTTTGTGGAGGCCCCCCTCATTATAATTAC